TCTATGGAGAGCTTCCTTAAAGGAGCTAAAGTGGGGTCACGAAAGCACTGGGGCATGTGCCTCTGCAATAAAAGAAGGGGAAACACGTGGATTTACTAGGTGACACATTTTTTATTTTTTTTAACAAATTCACATACTTTTGACTAAGAGGTAAAATAATCCAAAGGCTAAGTGAAAAGTAACAGGAAGTATTCAGTTCACAAAGTGCAATAACTGAGCATGCTTCATCCATGTTTATTCACAATGCAAAAAAAACTAAGTGCATAAACAGCAGCGGAGCATCCAGTACCTGGCTGGCAGTGAGTGCTTGTGTCTGATCACTGTATGGCAGTACAGTGACAGACTGGTCTGTACTCTGCTGGTGACAGTCACTGTACTGCTGGTGCGAATGAGGCATGGGAGCAGCCATCTGAAGACCAGCAGCATGGAAAGAAAGAGAGGGTGCAAGCCGGACAGACGAGGGTTTGCATGCTGAGGTCTCTCCCCCTAGAGGAAATTTAAGCTAAATTAGTGTGTTAGAACAAAATTCTCCTCTCTCCCTGTGATCCTTTGAACCGCAAACCTCTTTCTCTGTTTTAGGAGAGAAAAACCATCTCTGAGATTTTTATGTAACAAAAATGAAGCACTAGAACTAAAACACAATAGGACAGAAAGTGAATATAAACATATACGTACAAAAAAAATCTATGAATTTATTAATCTTCTTTATCAGAATATAACATTCCTGTAAGAGGAATGTCAGAAAAATAAAGGCAACAACAATTAAAGCATAGCTATAAAAAAAGACAATCATTTAATATAACTATACAGAAACAAATAATAAAAAAAACTATTTCTAAATAAAGAAAAGAAAAGACTACAGTGCAAATTTCATGTCAAGTACAACATTTTTGGTTAGAAATCTGTCCTTTTTTTTAGCTGTAAATTGTGATAATTATAAGGAGCTTGCTCATATATCAGCATCTCTTGCCAGGCAACACAATGCACCAGCCACACAGAATCCCACCACTATTCAGAATCCCAGCAACAGCACCTAATTAGCATAGCCTATCACCAAGAAGATACAGTGTGATTTGGCAAGCCCATCAATGTTCAAGCCAATCACAGAAGAGTATGCAAATAGCCTACTTTTGTTGCCAGGGCAGAGCTGCTCCCATTTTCCAATAAGAAAACAAGAAATAAACAAGAAATAAAATTGAACTTTGGCACACTTAGATGAAGCATCCACCACATTGGAGCCTGACAGCAAAATAGCAGCTCAGACCCCACTCATGGTGTAGGAGCGGAGAATGATTCAGCTGACCTAACTAAGGCAGGGCAAAGAATTCATGTGATCCACAAAATATCAGAGGATGGAAACACTTCTACAGCCTCAAACGATTTTCAGGACAAAAGCCTATGAAATAATAACACATTTTTACATTAATTTACCAACATAAACATTTCAAATTGATTATATATTTTTAAAAAGGTACAGGAAAAATATCAGAGATGCTTGTATTTATGTTTTGCTAAGGCATATTTCTCAATATGGGCTTGATGATTCATGTTGTCAAGGACTGCATGCAGTTCACCAAGAGAAAAACTGATGTATGGCACAGTACAAACAGAAACATTACATTCTGCACCACAGAAGATGCTCTTACTGCATATCTAGTTCTGTTTTTTGTGATTTATAAGCAGCCTTTATAACTCAAAGAAGAAATACGAATTTATAGGCCTGTATTAAAAATTATAAAGTTGGTAAAATACAAAATACGTGAACAAGGCTTTGCAAATATAAACATTAAATATAACCCTCTGAGGTGCAATCTCAGATTGATATTTTATTTCTGAATCTGATTAAACTACAAAGGAGTTATAACAAGGAATACGATATATTCGTTTTTTTCTGTTTACTGATCAGTAATTATCCTGTTTCAAGGAATGAAATCAAGTAAAAATCATATGAATAATTAATTATAAGATTTGTTTTTAATAACACTAGCAAAAACTAGTGATATATGTTTTGTAATAACCAAATAATAATAAATTTAAAAATTTCATTTAGCTTTTGACATTTAATTTATCCTTTTCAATTAATTTAATTTAATTTAATTTCATGGCATGTCTGGTTATTGTCAGGTCAGGTAAACACCAAACATGCAATAAATTCCCTTGACTACAGTACAGCAAGGGACTGTGATCATTAAATGCAACAAGAACAATTATGGCTTTCCATCAAACATTTTCCAATTTATAATAAAGCTCTGTAACACAACTGTTCCTTACTTATAGTGTAATAAATTAATTATAAGATTTGTTTTTAATAACACTAGCAAAAACTAGTGATATATGTTTTGTAATAACCAAATAATAATAAATTTAAAAATTTTATTTAGCTTTTGACATTTAATTTATCCTTTTCAATTAATTTAATTTAATTTCATGGCATGTCTGGTTATTGTCAGGTCAGGTAAACACCAAACATGCAATAAATTCCCTTGACTACAGTACAGCAAGGGACTGTGACCATTAAATGACCTTCTCACAGCAACGCCAAACATGTTGAATGCACATGCAACAAGAACAATTATGGCTTTCCATCAAACATTTTCCAATTTATAATAAAGCTCTGTAACACAACTGTTCCTTACTTATAGTGTAATAGTGGGTCAGCTCCGTGTAATTTATGACTTTTAAGATGGCCAGTGACATCTCAAAATACAAAGTTAAAATGTGTTACATGTCCCAGAAATTATTTCACTTATTTGGTGTGGAGCACAAGAACAAAAAAGTAGGTACAGCAAACAGAGACAAACTTCACCCAAGTTATGACTAAGCAACAAAAAAATAAAACAGCTTGTTGGTTTTTTGCTACCCACTAGATATCCCACTTCAAACTCATGGCTGCATCTCACTAAATGCAGCCATGATAAACAATGAACAACTTTAACCATCATTTTACACAGTGACGAGTACTTCATTTGACAAATACTACCAAAGGAATCAATAACGTAAGACGTGCATAACTGCACAACAGCTTCTGCTTCAAAACAAGAACAGATGCAAACAGCTAACCTGGGTGTATGATTTCCAGTATAATTTAATTTCACCTTAATTAGCTGTAAAATGTTTGATTCACTTGCAATAAGTGTTAACTTATCTTCCCACATTTCAAACGTTCCTTAGAGTCCTACATGAATAGAAGGGCTGCAAATAAACATTGATGAACAAACATCACAATAAAAGAGGAACAATTTATAGAAATTACAACTCATCTCAAAACTGAGCATGTAAAGCATGCATTTGTACTTTATTTTCCGATCGCTTTATTAAAACTTGGATAACACTGAATTCATATTTCTACAAGTAAGCCAAAGTTCACAACTACTACAGAACTTTGCCTAATTTAACAAAACATACTTAAGTGTTGAAAAAATAACATTTCCCCCCATTCAAATTTCCCTAGCTTACATAAAGTTATAATTAATCTAAATGTTCTGACTAATTTCTAAACAGCTAATAAAAAACGAGCCCTGAAATAACACTACAGGAGATCAGCTGGATTTCAGCACCACTGAAACGCCAAAACAATGTCAATAAGATGGAAAGAAAAGGGATACTAGACTGCGCATGGAGTGTAAAAAGACAAGTGTACGCGACAGTACAGATCCTGGTCCTTTTGTGCATGTAGGCCCATTCCTGCATATCCAGCTAAATGCATGAGACTTATTCTTCTAGTGTGACTGAAATAAGGTTTGTACAAAACAACTAATAAACTGCATCACAGGAAAGAACAAAACGCCCCTGTTAAATAGGACCACTTTAGACTGCTGTGGGAGGAAGTGATGGACAAAAAAAAGATGGTATCTGACACAGATCTACCTATGAACTTCCAGAATAAAGTTTACCTGAGGCAAACCGAAGCAACAAACCACGACCCTATTTTTGATGAGACATTTCTCTGTGCATAATTCATCTGTATCAGCTGTACTTTTATTATGTATAAAACATCACCAACGCTGAACCTTCAGGTGACACTGAGGGGGAATCTGACAACCTGTCCTGTATTTACCTGGTCAGAGACCATTATCCATCTGAAAAAGACGAAAGCATTTCTTTACACAGACTAACAAATACAAATCTGAGCAGCGTGCCATCCATTCCTTCACATTAACTATAACTAACTTGAGAAAAACCCTTGAACACTGAGCAAACTAACCAGAGGTAAACTGAGTGACAGTGACATGTAAAGCGGACCTTACCTCTCTCTAGCTGGCTTAGCCATTCATCGGGCTCGACCGGACTCGCTTAACGTCTCCATCGTCACGCTAAAGTCTAAACCCGTACTACATGACTGAGCAATGTTTGCTGGATAACTATGGTTAGGCATCACATCCCTGGCTAATGTCAGCCCCCCTCCCCCGACAGGAAACCAGCCTGATGGCTAACTGACAACACGCTAGACATGGGGCTTCATCATCATCATCATCATCACCTCCACCAGCCAAACACTCCCATCAGAGTGATGTGATGATACACTTCTGTAATCACCAGCTGGCAGATTTCTGCGGATAGTTATATATAAAATCGTAGGCTGAGCAAACCCACATACACACACATTTGCTCCGGCAGTCTGACCTAGCGAAGCTACACTGGGTTGCCTGTTAAACGACTAACAGACTGTCCTAAAACCTTTACAAATGCTCACTACTGGGGCTTGGGGAGTGTAAAAGCAGACGCTGATGATCGGATGAGCTATCTGGTGCATGAACAAAGATCGCTAACTACGTTAACGTGAGGAAAGTTATTAATCGGCTAGCCATCTAGGCCAAATCAACCTAGCCTGTAGCTTCTAACGTTATCAAACAAGCGGTTTGGAAACAAACCTACAAAGGCCACAAGATTCACTTAGACCTCTACAAATCTCAAATACTCACCTTTGATGGTGTGATCTTCATTTAAAGTCCCAGATCCAGTAAAGTGAGGCGACTGATCCAGTTTCTCTACGCTGCTTCCGATGAGACACCCCTAATGTATTGAGCCAGACGGGGCTAAATGCCTTATTTCGACTGACAGGTAAAACAGCGTCTTTCCAATGCGTTTTTGCCCATGTCAGATCTCATTTGTGCATTAATCATGGTTTGTAAGTGGTGAAGTGATGGTTAGCGGCTAGTTAGCGCTCTTTCTCAGTGACTTTAACAAACGCGGCTAACCAGCTAGCGCTCGGAAACGCACATTCAAGATTATTCGCTTCTGTAGAGGCGGAGACGCAAATGAATTGTTTTCAAAAGCAAAAATAGTCACAAAAAAACCAACGACACGCAGATATTATAGAATGCGCTACGTGAAAAGGTGAACAAAAACCGTTAAGCTTTTCTGTCAGTTTTCACAAAATGGCGCGCGTTCCAAACCTGCGCAGCGGACCGGCCCGGCGGACCCGAGACACGGACTACTAGCCCAATAAATATATTCCTGACATTCCGATTCTTTGTCCCGGTGTCGTTTTCAGTCCGACGCGGTTGGCGAAGCCTTTCCAAAACTGTCACTGTTACGAGCGCGTGACTGCATTATTCCGGCGGGAAGCGAAAACATTTGAAAGATTAAAAAAGCAACTGACAAAATGGCGACAGCCTGGGCTGTTGCTATGGCAACTGTCAATCAAGCAGACGAGTACCCGGATGTTCAAATGACGATTCGAAGGGGGAAACAGTAAAGGTTGCTCCACGCCATGTGTCAATTAAATAAAACTGTCAAATAAACTTTACACAAACAATCATATAAGCATTTTGCAAAACGCTGAACTATTTCAAACAACACTGGGCTGCTTTTTGCTAATTATTGACAGCTTACGCGTAGTTTGTGGACAATCAACTATATTATGCAAAATGCTGTGCTTACACAATAATAATGTACAAACACGCTTGTTTTAGGTCAAATATGCTGCATGTGCTAAGTAAAAATGTAAAGCAAATGATATAAGGAGGTTTAGGATAAGTCAACACCAGAGGACATTGCGAGTTTACCGTGATATGTTGTGTTTGTCAGGTTTATCTGGCTTTATGATATGAAAAGTGTATTAATACGTTATGTAGGATTACAATCTGACTTTCTCAGGTTACGCTTACACAATAATAATGTACAAACACGCTTGTTAAATATGCTGCATGTGCTAAGTAAAAATGTAAAGCAAATGATATAAGGAGGTTTAGGATAAGTCAACACCAGAGGACATTGCGAGTTTACCGTGATATGTTGTGTTTGTCAGGTTTATCTGGCTTTATGATATGAAAACTGTATTAATACGTTATGTAGGATTACAATCTGACTTTCTCAGGTTAATGTGATTTCTTGTGTGCTTATTTACCATTTTTTAGGCTTATAATTTTTTACATCCATTTGATTGTCTGACAAAATTGCTGGATTGTGATATTAGTGTTGATTTTGTTTTTATCAAACTTGTATAACAGTTGCAGTATGGGAATCTGTAGTTGGCCATTGCAGCACCATGGACAGCAACAGCTGCACTGAGGAATACAAACAGTTGGAGCCAGGAGACTTAATAGGTGGTGACTATTTGACTACATTCCTATCATTCTTAAATGTGTATGTGATGAAGGAACAGTATAGTTTACAGTGAACTAAATCTCTTGCATTCCGCTGTCCTTTACCAGCTTGTTTACTGTGAGCCATCAACTCATCTTTATGACAGTGTCAAAGTACCTTAACTTTTCAGATGAGTTTGGATTTGGATTATCTCCAATGCTTTTGGGATCATTATTATGGGATGGGTCTGTTCCTGAGGGCACGGAACAGTTCTTTCAAGCTTCCCAACAATTTCTATTACTACTTCAACCAAATAGCCACATTTTTTTCTTTTATTTTTACAGAGAAATTATGAATTTTGTAACACTGTACAATAAATATTTGCATGGAATTTAATATTTTATTATAAAAAAATAATATCAATATAATTAATACTTTCACTACATGTAATTTTTCCAAAGACATCTACATTTGTGGATTAATACAATCCTGCTTACAATAATGCTTTGACATTAAAAACCTTTACAGAATTTAAGAAATATTTTCTATTGGCCAATTTTTACAAATTTAAAAAATACATCTCCATCAGTGATATTTTTATTGTCATTTAACTTTTAAAATAAATGTACCTTGTCTGAGACCTGGGCCCGTATGTATAAAACTTCTCAGAAATGCTCTTAAGAATAGTCTTAAGCTTTGACTTAAGTGTCAAAAAATTCTTAGTAAAAAGTAGGGCTTGTCTAAGAGTAGGAGACCTTTATAAAGAAGCTAAAAGCAACTTTCAGTAAAGTCTAAGACTGATTCTTAAGTGAACTAAAGACTACAATGGTGTCAACTCAAAATGGCTGCCCTCGACCTCTGAAACAGCCAGTAGTGAGCCTGCTCATGTGAAGTCACAGCAGCAAAACACCAATCATTTAATGTAACTATAATAAAATCATTTAATTAAGACACTAAAATATTTTAATATTTAAATGTATTTTAAAAAAATGCTTTGCATTGTACAAAATTATCACAAATTATTACTGATGCTTTGAAATTGTATTCTATTGATATTTCTTCTCGTTTACAGTTGGATCAATGACGTGAACATGAGTTCCATCAACGGCTCCAACAACTCCAGGAAAGCCCACAATCCTCATAAAAGTGGCTTGTTTTTGCAGCATGGTTTGACAGTCAGTTGGAAGGTTAATGAACTGTCATATAGTAGTGGCCAAAATTTATGTCCGGCCTATGAAATTTGACATCTTCACCCTTATTTAATAAAAAATGTGTTAAAGATTTTGTAAACATGTTGCATAGTTTCTCAGAGTCAATTGTTTTATTTGTGATAATAATGCAATGAAACATAACTATATAGATCAGTGAACTTGCCATTCTGAAGTAATCTAGCAACATTTAGCAACTGTTTTAGCTACTTTCAGTTGAAAGCAGTTGGCAACACTGGTCAGTGTTTTTTTCCCTCATATTTGAATGGTTTAAGTGAAATGTGGGGTCATTAAAAAAAAAAACTCCACACATCACTTTTGGCCACTGTTGTATTTGGTGGGATTAGTGCCACAATATTTAAGACCCTGCTTACCGTGTCATCACCGGTGCATTGCTGCATTTTTCCAATTTTCCAGCCAAAAAATGTAACTGCTTTAATTTCTGCAGTTAGAGCATTGATTTGTAGAGTGGAAGAAGTTATTAAATTTCTTACTTGGTCAGTTACAAAAAGAATTGACTATCTTGGCGATCAAATTTGTATAATTTTATCAACATATAACTCCAATATGTCATATCTTCGGTGGAAAGTGTGTCTCCTCCTTTGGCTGCCATCTTGTTACTCCTAACTAAATTAGGAGACCTCTCCAGCTCTCTTAAATCATTTAGGAGCTGAGACCTAGTCTTAACACTTAGGAACCTTTATGAATCACACTTATTCTTAAGTCTAGGAATAGGAGTAAAATTGTCATTCTAAGAATTTTGACACACTTAAGACTACAATTTTACTCTGAGCGGCTTTATATATACGGCCCCTGGTTTGCAACAGTTTCTTTTTAAAGTTACTTGCTTTGGGGAATGTTGATGTGATGTGTGACAACAGAGCAGTCATAACCTAATGCTGTAAAAACTGAGATTGTGAAATTACTGGACAAACATTGAATCAAAAGTTACAATAAAGACATTTATAATGTTACAAAAAAAAATTTTTTTCAAATAAATGCTGTTCTTTTGAACTTTCTTTTCATCTTAAAATCCTGAAAAAATTAATTGTATCGTGGTTTCCACAAAAAATGTGAAACGGCAAAAACAGTGTTAAAAATGGATAAGAAATGTTTCTTACGCACCAAATCAGATTAGAATGAATTTTGAAGGATCATGTGACACTGAACACTGAAGTAATGGCTGCTGAAAATTCAGCTTTGCATCGCAAGAATAAATAATTTAAAATAAAATAGAAAACAGTTATTTCAAACTTAAAAAATATTTCCCAATATTCTTATTTTTACTGCATTTATCAAACAAATAGAGCTTTGGTGAGAATAAGCAACTTTTAAAAAACATTGTAAAATTACAGTTACGACTATGAGCGAGCAAACAAAAAAAAAAACACTCTTTCCTAAAATGTACACTTTATTTGAACTAAGAGTACAAAACAACGGTCAGAATGTACAATACTTGCATGGCCAAATTCAACCTCTTTGGTCTTGACAGTGGATTAAATGCAGGTGATGTGCACTGAAGTGTGGAAATGCAGCAACCACTAGGCATTGAATTTAAAATCTGCAAGTAAATACCATCAATTGTACTGTACCGTTCAACAGCAACAGAGGTATATTTTCAGGAAAATTTACTAAAACTAGCTAACATAATGTCAAAACACTGGCATTTAGCTAAACCTCAACAATATAAATAGAACATAAAAACAATAAAAAGAAGTTAACCATATTTACAAGTAATGCTTAAACCAGATCACATACAATTCTGCGGCGAAACAATGAAACATCAAAGAACACACAAAACGGGCGATAATCTGAGAAAAGTGTCAGTATACATTATTGAGAGCTGATTTTCACTTTCATGAAAAAAAGCAACATGTGATGAGAACCCAATTTTAAATGGTTTAAATGGTAAACAATCCAAGCAAAGGGCAAGGTTTTCATTAAACAAGCACTGGTCCCTGCATTATCTTCTTAATTCAGAAATGACCAATTATGTCAGTTGTCCTGTTTAGACATTTGAACTTCAAATTGTAGGTCATAGTCTTTATTAAAATGCATATAAGGTCTAAATATTGGTAAATAATGGTCTTCTAAATCCCAGCAAGTATAATATCGGGATGTAATTTTGCTTACTGACTTGTTAAGACCTGAAAACTAGCCAAGTGCTCGGTATAAGCGTGAATATCATGCTTCATATCATGCCACAGATTAGGTACTACGTGTAATTCGAAAGGAAAAAGTCCCATACAGATACTAAAGGCCTCAGGGTTTCAACCATGTGAAACTAAAAACACAAATTTGCATGAACTGAATAGCTGGGACATTAAAATAAAACAAAACACAGTAGGGCTTCAAACATGAAATCCAACATTATGAATGAACACTTTACAGACAAAGGTTTCTGAACAGGCTTGATCTTCAATGCAAAAGATTCACATACTTTACAACATACATTATTAATTAAATCCCCAGCGTAGGGGAGGCACAGACACATTACAGACGATGGTGGAGATGTAACTGACACAGCTACTCCGGTCCTCCAATACAGCTTCTGATCATTTTTTCACAGACTTCACCAATTTTTCACTCCTTCTCTTGTGGAAAAAAGGGATTGCATTCAAATTAATCCTAAGGAAAGACAAGATACATACATAATAAATATAACGATAATTAAATCTATAAACATTTATATATAATACTACTACAAAGAAAAATAGTCATTCACATTAAGCTAGTTTCAGAAATCTTGACTCACCCTGAATGGCTCCTTTGACATTACACGTCAGCTTTTTGGCTTTGATTCTCCTCCAGTTTCTTACTCTCTTCGGCAGATCCATCTTCCTTTTCTCCAGTTTTCCAGGATCCTTGCCTACATCCAGATTAAGTGTTACATAATATTCCACTTTGAGCAAATCTGGATTACATAAGCATAGTGCAAATGTGCAAAACGTGATGAATGGTAACATCTTCACTGTTTAATGAGAAGTGGATATCATGTCGTACCTGAACTTCTTCATATACAGCCAGTAGGCCAGTCCTATCGCCAGAACCGCCAGCATCAGGCCAACTACTATGCAAACAGCCAGAATCGTCTGGTCACTGTACTCATCTTTCTGATCTGCTTAAGAAACACAGAGATAAAACATTCAGAACAGGGCATGGACAACTGGTGACAAGGGGAAGACGACAACTGGATGAGAACTTAAACCATTCAATAACTAAACAAAAGCAAATAAGACGCTGAAGGCGTAGCCTTTATCAGGATGCTGGGCATCTCAGCACCTTTGTTTTATTGTTTTTTTTAGAGTACACTCAAAAAGCATTCATTAAATTGATGACTAAAGGCACTGACGTTTGGCATATGCTCTCTTCCTGTGTAATGCAAAGCAAGACGACAACTGGATGAGAACTTAAACCATTCAATAACTAAACAAAAGCAAATAAGACGCTGAAGGCGTAGCCTTTATCAGGATGCTGGGCATCTCAGCACCTTTGTTTTATTGTTTTTTTTTAGAGTACACTCAAAAAGCATTCATTAAATTGATGACTAAAGGCACTGACGTTTGGCATATGCTCTCTTCCTGTGTAATGCAAAGCTGTGCAAAGACCAGACCTGATCGTTGATGATAACTCAGTCTTACCTTGTTTGTCCATTGTCACGTCCTCAACAACTGTAATCAGATATAAAATCATATTAAGTTCCATTTGCTTTATATTCTCATGGAATGAAAAGCCCATTGCATACAGAACTGGAGAAACTGTATATATAAATGTGTAGATATATTCTAATAACAAAACGGATTAATGGACATTTGCATGTTAATTCTTGCTTTTTCTCAAATAACCCCAAATTAAATAGCAATGCATGTAAATACAGGAATCCAGAGGCTTACACTTGTGGTTGGTTTTATAATTAAACACTTTTGTCCCGGGTTAGCTGAAAGATTTGTGTCATGTAAAGTGAAAGCGTGTGTTAGTCAGAGAACAGACCAGCATCCCGACAAACAGAACAGAAGAAGAGAAGGAAAGGTGAGCTCAAATAAAGATACAAGAGTTTTTATGTGCTAATGTTATATTATCCACGCTTAGAAGTTAACGTCAACCTTAGACAAAACTTAGAATTATTACTTAAAAACCATGTTAATTTTACATTTTAAGGCCAACACATAAAAGCTACTGTATTATTAGAGTTATTATACTAACAATTTAGGTTTCATTTAACAGTTAACATGAAATAATAATGAAAAATAAAGCATTTAATTTTAACATCACTAACATTTCTCAAATTAAAAAGTATCTGTTTTTATTATTATTTTACATTTAATGAATGTGTGCTAACATTAACCATGAACAGTATTTTTATTAACAATCATAAAGACCAGTAACTATTGTTACAAAAAAATGAATGATTGTTGGTTCATTTTAGTTAATGCATTAACTAACAGGACCTTATTGTAAAGTGTAACCATTATTATCTTTGATGAAAAGTAAAGTTTAAAACAAATAAACATCATCTTTGTGGGATGGACTTGAATTTAAAGGGGTGGTTCACTTGATTGTGTTTATGGGGCGCAGTCTAACATGTGTTAATGCTTCGTTTATAAAAAAAATAAAAAAACGCATTCTTTTTCACATAATTTACCATTATTCCACACCGCTCTGTCCCCTCTCTGAGAAACGGGCTGATCTTTTTCTGTTTTTATGAAGCCCCGCCCTCAGAAATAGGCGAAGGGCTCTGATTGGTTAGCTAGCCCAGTGTGTTGTGATTGGCTAAACCCCCTCTAGTGCGCGTCTAATCGTCCCGCCCCTCACCTCAGCGGCACGTGCTCCAGTTGTATCGTAACCAAGGGCATTGTTAATATCGCTTATCAGTTTGAGCCCGATTGAGAAGCAGAGAATATTATTGAAGAGGATCATGCAGAACCTGTGCAAGCACGGCTTTTAATGGTCGGCCTGTGTTTTTGTTTGTTGTTGTCTCATACTTTTAGATACGCTGTTATTTGTAAATGGTCAGAATCGCAATTCATATATGAACAGATTTTTACGTGCACCCCTAGTTT